CCTTCTCTTCTCCTTCTCTTCTCCTTCTCTTCTCCTTCTCTTCTCCTTCTCTTCTCCTTCTCTTCTCCTTCTCTTCTCCTTCTCTTCTCCTTCTCCTCTCCTTCTCCTCTCCTCTCTTCTCTTCTCTTCTCTTCCCTTCCCTTCCCTTCCCTTCCCTTCCCTTCCCTTCCCTTCCCTTCCCTTCCCTTCCCTCTCTTCTCTTCTCTTCTCTTCTCCTTCCTTTCTCCTTCCCTTCTCTTTCCCTTCCCTTCCCGTCCCTTTCTTAGATTTCTTTTTCCTTTTCTAATTTTACAGATTAAAAAAAAAAGGAGACTCTTAACCCCGGGTTGTCTCTGAATGTCCTTCAGGCAAGTCTCTTTATGAGTGGTTTGTAGAGTGCCATCTTGTGGTTATCATAGCTCACTGTCACTGAATTTTTGAGACTACAAATTGTAGGTGTGTGTGTGTGTGTGTGTACATTTTGAGGTGTTTGTGTGTGAATGTGGAGGGATGTGTGTGTGTGTGTGTGTATGTGTGAAGGTGCATGTGTGGGTGTGCATGCCTGTGTATACACACTTTAAAGTATATGTGTGTGAACTCAGCTGCCTCAGAAGCAGAAATGTGTTATTATGAAAAGATTCAGATTTTGAAAACTTTCTAGAAATATTTGGAGTGAATGAACCTGTTCTAAACCCATGTGGGCCGAAATGAAAGCAAGAGTTTGAACTTGGCACCTAGTTTTTCCAGTGTCCTCCGCCAACACATCCATGCTCAGCATGTTACTGGTTAGTCAAGCAGGGGATTTGTAAAGGCTAAGTCTTCGGACTGCAGTAGAACCCACCACACTCATGAGCTCAGAGCAGAAGACATCCCTCTCCAGGATGTCTGCTCATTCTTCAAAGGCTGGGAAGTTTGCCAGAGCCTGTTGTCTTTAAAAGGAGGTTTGCAATAACCAGACACACTTCGCCTTTTTAAACAACCTACTTGTGTACATGGCCTGTTGAACGAGCGCGGTGGGTTCTAGCACAGTCTGAAGGAGCGCGGTGGGTTCTCGTGCAGTCTGAACGAGCATTGTGGGTTCTAGCGCAGTCTGAAGGAGCGCAGTGGGTTCTAGTGCAGTCTGAACGAGCGCGGTGGGTTCTAGTGCAGTCTGAAGGAGTGCGGTGGGTTCTAGCGCAGTCTGAAGGAGCTCGGTGGGTTCTAGCGCAGTCTGAAGACTTAGCCTTTACAAATCCTCTGCTTGACTAACCGGTAACATGCTGAGCATGGGTGTGTCATTGGAGGACAGTGAAAAACTAGGTGCCAAGTCCACACACTTGCTTTCCTTTCAGCCCACATGGGTTTAGAACAGGTTCATTCACTCCAAAACAGACTCTGACCTCTGCTCCCAGCCATCCAATAATCCCCTCCTCCAGGCTGACCCTCATCTTACTGGACAAAGTAGACAAAGGGGTCTGAGTGCAAATGGAGGGGGAAGAAGAGAGTGTGAGGAGAGGAGGGGAAGGGAGAGAGAAGTGGAAGAGGAGAGAATGGGAAGTGCCCCAGGCCAGGCCCGCAGACAGGAGGCAGCTGATAGTCTTAGAAGATCACAAATGTCCAGCCCTTGAAACCCCCAGGCCACTTGGAGAGGGATCTTAAGCCACATGCTCTTCTCCGACTCACTGGAGTCATCCTGGAACAAAGCACAGAAGCCCTGTTTCTGGGTGCTCGTGCACAAACATTCCATAATCTCACTGCAGAACTAAACACAGGCTTCAGATGATAGACTGCTCACCTCCAAATTCATGGCTGTTTTGAACCATTTCAAACAATAATAAAAGAAACCCAGTTTGTGTGGCAGGTGGAACCCAGGCGGGGCATGTGAGGGCGGGGGCCTAGCTTGGTGGCCTCGCCCCTCTCCAGCCATCAGGATGTCTTAAAATACCGCTGTGGTCGCCTACACTGGGGACATTCTCTCTTGTGGTCAGAAGCAGCTGAAGTAGCAGGATTCAGGGTTGCTCTAGGACTCTGCGCTGCCAGATGCCTGATGGGTGTGGGAGTTCGTCAGCGTGCTTGGCCTGGCTTGGTGCTGTCTCTGTGTGAGCCTTTGGGCCGTACCACGGAGACATGCTAAGATGCGTGCTAACACTGGAAACCAACATCTTCTTACCATGCCGGGGAACACCGTGACTTTTGTGTCTCATTATGTAGCTCTGGCTAGCCTGGAACCACCATATAGCCCAGGATGGTCCAAAGTGACAGTGATCTTCCTGCCTCTTCCTCTGGAGCTAGAATTCCAGTCTTGTGCTGGCTATGTGACATCACACCTGCTCTGTCTTTTCTATTTACCCCACATCAGCTCTGCACTTAGGAGAAGGAGGGGGTTAGTTCTCTTGAAAGCCCTGCACATTTCTTTTTGGAATCACCTGAGTCCCAGGCCTGAAGTCCCTTTAAAAGACACCTATCAGGTTCCTCTGGAAGTACAGTGGGCTCTGGACACGCCCACTTGAGTTGCTAAGCAATGCCATAGCAACACTACTGTGTTACTGCTGACCCAAGTGTTCCCAACCGCTTTATAAAAGCAGGGATTTGCTTCAAGCTGAGTGCTTCTCCCTTGTCCACTGACCTGACTCCTGAGTCACCCCCATAACACACTGTTGTACCTCTTCTCTCCGCTCACTGTGTATCCACCATGTGACTAACCATCAGGAGAAAGGGTATGAAGGGGGTGGGGTCAACTCCAGTCCCTTAGCAGAGTGTGTTTCCAAGGATGGTACTTTGGATGGAATAAACGGTGGGTCCTGTGTTGGTCAGCTTTGTGTGCCATAACAAGACGTGTACCTATAAAGTGGAGGCTTGTTACGTCATCATTTTGGACGCTGAGGTCCAAACCGCATGGCGCAGACTCAGGTGAGCGCCTCCTTCACCACCCATCACAGAACACATCTCACACCTGGAAGCTCAGGAGCTGGGTGTGGCCAGCCTCTAGTTCTTAAATCCAACGCTCCCATCTTTGCCTAACTTTTGTTATTCTGTGGTCCTCGTGGTTGAATGCAAGGCCTAGGTAGACGCTAAGAAAGGCTCTGCCACTGAGGGACGTCCTAGTGCTAGATAACAACGCTCTAAAGAACCGCTTTAACCTGGTCCCAGGGCACGCCTCAGGGATCTTAGGACTACCCACTAGACCCCTCTACTTAAAGGTCCCCACAGCTCCCACCATCACACTGGAGACCAAGCTTTCGGCACACGAAGTGCACACATCAGGCAAACTCCAACAGTCTGCAGACTGCCGTGCAAGAGGGGAACTCACCGAATGAGCAATAAAAATCAGACAGGAAGCATGCAGTTCAAGAAAGAAACTTGTCAAATCAAAACTCTTAGAATTTTGGAAATCATATAAACATTAATACTAAGGAATAATCATGTACAATTTTCAGAAATTGCCACAGATATTTATTACACACACACACAGACACACACCACCACCAACAACAACAACAACAAAAGATATAAAACATCACCCTAAGTAGACATTAGGGTTTTGGTTGAATAAATTATGTTATAACAACAT